CTATAGAAAACTGTTTCGAAAAAACGCCCACCCAACGCTTATGGCCCCTCCTCAAGCACAGGTCCAGCAGGAAGCGCCAGGGTCCATAGACATCACAATCCAATAAGTGAATCACACCCTTTTGAGCCCTGACTAACTTACAATGAGACGAAACCATTTCCACTTGATAGCTGGGAAAAAAGCAGAACAATTCACGCCATAGTCTAGAAGAAAGGTAGTACCAACGTCACAATGCTATCCTAGATCGGAACGCAAAGCCTTTTGCATTGCTCGAAGTCACGGCGATCGTTGCTAGTTGAATTTTTCTGAATTTATGCCGCCTCTAAGGCTGCCTGTGCCTGTCATTTCAGTAGCCGCCACAAAATGATGGTCAAGGCCGCAACCACACAAATCAAATCTGAGAGTTTTTCCAGGAATGGAAGGTCAGAAACAGGTGGATGTTCACAGCTGTCGTCGCGCGGCCTTTCTCATCGTCAGCAACGCCTCAAAGGCCAAACTGGCCTGGGCCGGGATTACCATATTGCCGCACATGCCCAATCGAGCTTTGTCACTCTTAGACTGATGTTCCGAAAGCCACTTGTGCAGTGGCTGCTGCGGGAAAGGCTGCCATGTTTTGCAATGAGATTCCACAGGTCGACAGCTGTAGTCCTGGTGACAAATAATGTTTCAGGGCAAGCTAAAAATTACCACAACCTAAATCAAACTAGCACTAACGAAAGTTCGATCGAAATGATGTTTTACGACTAGGCTAGCTCCTCCCAAAGCTGTGCATCACGGGCGGTCAGCAGCAAAAATACTCTTGCTCGGTTCGCCTGAAGTGGGAAGCCCACTACAAATTTGGGAGGCCAAACATACACTGGGCCCCGGTCTGGCAAGCCAACGTTCATCAGTCTGGTTGTTGCCCAGAACACGTCAAGATTCCGATTGGCCGCCTCCTGGTCAAAAGAAACTATTTGTTTTTAATTGCAAGATATTGCAAGTATCATGGAACATCATAACGAGCTGACTGCGTCCTTCAAGATGTGCTGCAAAAGCATCCGGCACTGTTTCTCTTTGCTGAGCAGCGCAAAGACGTTTTCCAAAAGCATGAACAACCTTAGCCACGTGAGTGAAGAAGCAACAACACGTTATATAACCTAGCAATCAGTCGACTTGGCACCAAGCGGGGTGCTCAGGCTGTCGAACACGCGCCACACCTCTTTGATCAGCTCGGTGCGGCCGTCGTTCATGCCCCTTTGCAATCCCGCCGATGATACACCCTGATCCACAAAATGAATCCAAAAGTCGAAGCCCACGAGACATTTAAATTTCAGTTTCAGCCCACGAGCATCATCATAACAGCATCTTCATGACAGAACGAACATGCGAAACAATTGGGGAAACAATGCAATCTGAGCCGGCCTGGCACGGGAAGCCAGCGGTCAAACCGCAGGCCCCCGTGTCGCGGGCCGAAAACTTGCAAACGTCTGAACAAATGACTGCTTCATGTAGAAGACCTTCCCTCATTCTCTGGGTGAGGACAGCTGTGCATCCCTCGTCACGTTCCACCTTGCGGCTGCGCTTTGAAAGACAAAAGAATGCTTGGCGACGCACTGATGCGCTAGGTCAACGACGAGATGGGTGGCATACATCCACCTAAGAAATTGAAATTGCACCTTCACAAAACGTTGCCCAAAGTGTGAAAATGACACAAGGATACTCATACACAACTTAATAGATAGGTCACCTTTTGTCTCAACGCTGTCACACGGCGTGAGCTTGGCTGTCATTTCAAACTGGCCAGGGTGGCCATTGGCATTCTCAATGCCATGAGGGCTTCTATCTGTAGGCCATCTCACCAAACTCGTTAACAACAGCAACAACTTTATTCCTAGCTCCATGGGTCGAAATTGCCTACGGTCTCTGAGATCAATCTCTCAAGCAAACCGTGATTATGGGCGACCTGCATCAGCCTGCGGCACTCATGATCCATCTTCGGAGTCCATACATCAGGAACAGGTGCTGCCACAGCCTTGAATCCACGAGAGACCAACAAAGCCCACCATGCGTGGCGCACATCAACCGTACATGAACTTTCAACCGCCTTATTAAACTTCTGCCTAGTGGCTGAGTGCGGAGGCTTGTATGGCAGCCATACTCTTCTTGTCCAGGACCACGACCACCTCAATTGCCAAACATCTACTGTCTAGCATGAGCTGGGACCCCATCACGATGAACCTGCCACAAATTGGGAGCCAACGTCGCCACAAGTGATCCATTTTATGAATTCAAGTTTGAAGTGACCACTAGGCGCACCACTGTGACCCGCCCCAATTGGCAACAAGGAAAGTGCCCTTTTCCACCCTGCACGATGAGCGAAACTCTGAACTTGTATGTAAAACGCACCAAAAAAGCAAAATCCATCTCTGTTTCGATTGTTTGACCAAACACCCACGCCAGGCCTGATCTGATTGAGCCCAACGCACCGCACGGATCCCAAGTCACAGTCAGTGTCAGGCTGCATTTCAAAGCAACTGACCCGGTGACTGACCCCTAACTGTCAACACAAAGGCCTTTTGATCTGAATAGCTTTGGCTGGTGGTGGTTAACAACCAAAAGCAACAACAAGGCAACAACAATTCAAGAAACTGTCCCTTTCACTCTCGAAAGCTCTGCCAATCTCAGGAACTGAGGTTGGAGCCTCGAGAGCCCCAGTTCCAGACCGCAAATGCCAGAAAATAGTGAGACGATGGGAAGCTTTGATTCCTCAACAAACTCAGACTCAACCAAAAACCAAACAAAGTGTTGTTGCCGTTAATACCTGTTCTGAGGGAACCACTGTTGATAGCGCAAAGGGAAATTGACGGCGAAATTCCGGACCGTTGACTGCTCCGGCGGCGCTGTTGGTCCACCCAAATGGTAAGCCTGCAAAATGCCCAATGTGGGTTTCAAGTGTGAAGTTGTTCTCACACTAAGCCCAACTTCCTAGCCTGAGAACCACTCAGCCGTTGTTGGGGTGAGGTGGCGACCAAGTGCCACCCCTGCCATTTGGCATTGTTGCCTGTACTGTGTCCCAAATTTGATGCGGTTGGCTTGGTCCTCGGACATTTCAACATACATCATACAGTTGCGCGCGCGCATCATAGTCATACGCGTACTTAAGGACCAGGCCGTGATCCCCCGTTCTGACACGATAGTTTTCGCTGCCGAAGTGGTGGCTGAGAAGCACCCTCAAGAGAAACCAATGAAAGTGGACCCCAAACATAGTAAAGTCTCAGTTTGTGAAGTTTTCCATTTTCTTGCACAAACACAATAAGCCCTTGACTAATGGAAGCCCAGGTCTTGAATACCTTGGACCCCTTGAATTGTTTGGTCTTGCCCTTCTTGATGACCTTCTTCCGATTGGACTGGACCTGGGCGATCAAATGAAATGCTAGCCAAGTCCGTTACGGTTACGGTTGAGTGCAATCTTTCAAGCAGACATGAGAACCCTCAGAGACCAAACTCATGGGGCCCGAGCACATGTCCACGAAAGAGGATCCGCTCGCGCAAAGACTACGCTGTAAGGAACCACATTCCTTTCACCTGCCCTTACGGTCCCAAAGGGTGGCAAACTTGTGGCAATATCACGGTGAGCAATCTTCTTGTGCGTCAAAAAGCCATAGTGCCCGGGGCGATTCTGAACCTTCTTCAACTTGGAAATGCCACTGCGTTTGGTCACAGTGCCAAGTTTTCTCGGCTGCGCCTTTGCTCTCCGTGGTCCCAGCGTGGTTTTGGCCTTGCGGGCGGCAGCAAACGTGACCAAGTAAACCAAAACTTTAACCACACAAAATTTCAACTGAGTGGGGGCGAGAAGAAAATACAATCTGGTTCTAAAGAAGGAAAAGAGCCTTCATGGCCAGTGGTTTCCCTGCTGGCTTTGCCCTGCATACAGCGTGTCGGTCATCCGTGTCATCCTCCGACCTCAAGAAGACTAACTAAACGGGAACAATTCAATATAGGTTTTGCAGGAAAACATTGTAGCAAGATTCCTCAAACTCGCGATAAAGGACCTGACTCGCTGAGCTTTTCCACGGTGCCCGAAACGGGCATGGCACCGACGGCTTGCCCCGACCCTGCAGCAGCCAAATAGCTGCTGGCCAGGCTCGCTCCAGGCTGCGTCTCGAGCAGCGTATGAAAAACCACGATCGAACGAAAGACGACGAACTGTCCCAGTCCACTCAACACCTGGCATGAATTTTCATCAACGTTTGATATGGACCTTGCTAGATAGAACGATCGTTTTTTTTGTGTGTTTTTCTGAAAAATGTTTGGTACCCAATCTGACTTTATGAATTTCCTTGGCCCTGCCAAATTATCTGGCAGTGACTGGAGACTGGTTGACATACTAGGGATTCCAGGGGGTTGAATGCCCACGCCACATTGCCGACTATAATACCCAAGGCCCTATATAGCGGGCCACAATCCTAGGCTAAAGAACAGGCCTAGAGCGCAACTCTAACCATTGAGTGTGTGCTCGTGTGTGTGCGCATGGGTGTGGATGACGTTCGACAATGTGCTCACAAAATTCATGGCAGTGGGACTTGAGTGGCACGATCACCAGATTTGAGGGGCCAATTCATTTGGAGGACCCAAGGAGTGGGTGGTGGGTGTGGGTGGGTCAACAGTATGCTCACAAGATCCATGGCAGTGAGACTTGCAAGTGGTGTGATGAATAAGAGAGAGGCCAGCCCCAGATTTGAGGACCCAATTCATTTTGAGGACCCAATTGCCACGAAATTTCCTTCAAAAGGGGTACCAATTTGACCAATTTGAGTTACAGCTCCCCACAGATCTTCTCCACTCTGAAGTGTTGTTCCATCTCATTGTTTCGGTGTCCAAGGCTATGAACCTCCCAAGCCAAGCGAGGGCGAGGGCAAAGCTGGCGGAGATCCAAACCGAAGTCCATTTGTTGGATTTCACTGGGGGTGTCCCAATCTGAAGGTGACCTGCAGACTCTCCGACTTCCTTCGCTCGGTCTCCTGTCCCACGCCGGCACCACCCCGCTTCACGGCGCTCCGGCGCCAGCGCCGCGCCGGCGGCGACGTGGGCGGCCCAGCGACGAAGGCGGAACGGGTCTGACGAAGGCGGCCCGGCGGGCTCGGCTCTCTTTTGGAGGACGAAACATGCGGAGTTCCATGAAGTTGGGTGCCCTTTTGAAGGATAGGGGTGTCCAGAACGTCCACTCACTGGGGCTCAAAAGCATTCCGACATGGAAGTCCTGGTATCTATATAAATCTAGATTACACCTGCCTTGCGAAAGGAGACCAAACACACTGTCAGCCTATGACTAAGAGCTTCTTCAATGCTGAAAGTCCGGAAATCGCCCGCCTCTCTCGAGCTCGCCGCCACCTCTGCCGACGCGGACTCCGCGGACGGCGGCTGCGCGGAGGTGGTGTGCGGCCGCAGCACGCAGACCATCCGGGCAGAGCATCCCTCTGGATCGGCTTTGGAGGTGTTGATGAAGCCCAGTTGATGCGCCAATCGATGCACCACAGCCCGTTGCTCCTGGAGGTGCAGCTGTCGAATTGGGGTGGCCTCGAGGTGGAGGTGGGTGTAGAGTTTGGTCCGTTGCCAAGGGTTCCAAACAGCTCGATGTTTTAAATAACAATACCCCACATGTTCATGAGATTTCATGAGGCTCATGAGGCATGGTTCAAAACGGTGTGCGGCGCCCCAGAAATTGTTCAGCTTCACTCGGGGGTGCCCCATACCTGGGTGAGGAGCCACCCCTCCACTTCAGTTCTAAGCCCCCCAAACCGCCACAGCGCTCACCACTCCACCACGCCCTGGACTCCTGCTCGCGGGATCCCAACCCCTCTCCTTCTCAAGGCCCCGGAATGCCAGGCGACCCCCAGCTTCCAGCTCCTTCAGCCACCTGCTCACGGCCTGCCAATCTCGTCCGGGTGGGGAATGGTCGGGCCTTTGACACGATTTACCGTACCAAGGTTCTTTCTATACGTGTGTTGGGTGTGGAGTCTGGAGGCATTGAAAAGAAGACATTGCACGAAAAGTGGAGAGGTGAAGATCACCAGGGTTACGGGTCACGTGTAGTTCAACCCCTGCAGGTGTGCGGCGTCATGGCACTCCCACATCATTCGCTTCTAGCATGCAAGCCTGATGCTGCACAGTGACCCGCCATCGCCACCATGGCAGCAACTAGACTTAATGGAAAAGGTCTTAAAGTCCCATCCATCCATCGCTCCCAGTTACCAAGTGGTGCCCCCTTCCCCACAAAGGACTGGATGCATTCGGTGCACCCACCGGACCAACACCGAGGGAACGCCTGGATCCCACCAGGAATGCACATGGGCGTCCCTTCACCCGGCCTCCGCGTCAAAGCCACCGGTGAGATCCTGAAAAGTGAAGGCACAGCACCACACCGCGTCGGACGCGCCACAGCACCGCAGCGGGCAAACAGAAGGGGCTTGGCTTGGCGCGGCGCTAAGAAGGATTCAAACCAAGTCGAGGGCACGTGTGTTCTTGAGGTGCTGTTGTGATAGGATAAGCATATACTACATAATAAGCATACCAACTAAGAGGTGAAGCTGGTGGGTCTGCAATCTCGACCCTGAAGGGTTTTCAACGATGCCCAATTTGGAGGAAAGTCCTCAATTCCGTCACCATCAAACCACTCAACAGTCCCAGGCCCTCCAGTGTGCACATCTCCGTTCAAATTATCCAACCCGCCAAGCGTCCGCCACCGGCCACTCGATCGGCGCCTCCGGCCTCGTCTGGCCGCTTCGGTGGTCCTGGCAGTTCTTTTCAGAGCCTACGCCCTCCGAAAACCAGGAAGGATCGGTGGAATGCCATTCCCTTCGCTCAAACGTCGCCGGCGCAGCGGCTTCGACTCACCTCGTCCCGGTCGTTCGTCGGCTGATGCCCGGTCACCGGATCGATCGCAGCCGGCGCCGGGTCACCGGGCTTCGGACCGTCCTTCCGCCGTTGCCGCGCCGCATCCAGGTACTTCCCCGCGGGATCCTCGGGAGGTGGTACGCCAAGGAACGCCTTGACCTGGAAGTCCAAGTTGGAAGTTGGTTTTACTAAGGAATTCAGACTACAAAATCCGGGTCAAACCTTTCTTTCAGTCTTTGAAGGCACAAGTGGTCTCGGAAGCCAAAGCCCAAACTACGCAGCACCATGGAAAGGTCACCTCCACCTTTGCTTGGGTTGAGCAAAGCTGCCACAAACATGTCTGTAAAGCCCAAACGAGTCCTGGCAACCCATCCCAAAACCCTTGCTTTCAATGTTCTTTCCTCCCCCTCCCTTTACGCCGTTTACGCCCCCGAAAAGCCCATCCGAGCAGAAAAGATACCTCCGCCCACACCGCTTGCGGTGCAGGGCGTGTTAGGGGCGGGTCAAGCTGGAGGCTGGAGTCATCGTAATCATCTCGGGGAAAACACGTCTTACGCCTTGAGGGCCATGGGGGAGAGCGTTTTGGAGGTACATTTTTGGATGATTTTTGTGGCTTCGTTGCGACCTGTCTGCAACAACCCAAACAACCCAAAAAACGGACACCCACGATGCTGAAAATCCCTCCTGACCAGCAACGCATAACCAGCATTACAGATGAAGTAATGTGGACTAGCCAAGGGGGGCAAGGCCTCAAAACGGTCGAACTTGGAGCTTGAGTTGGCTTTAACATGGCCACCAAACGAGCGAACTTGTGCGTAACTCAGCCGCAACATGGACATAGAAATACTGTCATGTGCAAATTTTTTCGACGTAATGTGAATGAAGCAGTTGGAACGCACTGACGCTGCCCCAAACTCAACTTGAAGTTGCGTCCACACTGTGTCCTCTACACCCTCTGCTCTACCAAAATGCTGCGGCAAACAAGCCATCTCTTTGGACACCACTCCCGACCTCCCCTGTCCACTCCAGCAGTCTTTCCCCAGGCGACCGAAAAAAAAAGAAGGTGTGGGCGGCGGTCGACGCGAAGCGTCATGGAATAGCTGGAACCTGAATGACCTCTATTTCGGACCACCAACCACCCCAAATATGGCCTAACTTCCTATCAAAACAGAGGTCATGTCTGGGTTCCAGCATGCTTCTCTTCGGCCTTCTGCGGGGCCGAGAGTCCTTGGACTCGTCGCGCCGACCCCGGCGGCGACCGGTCCTCGTGCCGAGCGCTCAGCTCGCGGCCGTAGCGGCCCATGCTCCGGTTGCACCGATTCCACCCGGAGAGTTCCGGCGAAGTCGAGGGCCTGGCCATGCCAGAGCTGAAGTGAGCTGCAATTAGGACCCGTGACCTCCTGAGGTAGCGGTTGGATCGTCGAACTAGGGTAGCTGGCAGGGTCCATTGGTGTGTGTACCCCAGGACCCGAAGGCCATAGTCACTATGACCAATGATGACGCACCTTCCAATCAAGTCGTCACACCCTGCCAGTGATAAGGTCGGATGGACTGACTGCAGGCACGGCACCTAAGTAAATCAATAGGTGTTCCACTCTTGGGACCAAGGGACGAATTGTTGTCTACTCTTGGAATGAGACCCTGGTCCTTCTGAAACTGCCAGCTGAGAAAGGCTCCCGCGGCATCGAACCGTGACGCGACGGCTCCACGGAAGGACCCGTGGGGCCGTGGGGCCGGACCCGTCCTATGCCGCAGTCGAAGCGCCACGCTGCTGCTTCGTGGCCGTCATGGCGAAGCCAAAAGAAAGTGAGAAGGATTGAGGTCAGTGTCTTAAAACATCGTCGCACAACACAACACTCAGACTTCTACGAGTGGGAGGTCGGAAAATGTTGTTGCCACGGAGAAAACCCGCCCTGACAGAACCAAGTGAGCCATGTCAGTGTTGTTTTCGTGTTCCAGTCGATCTCTACAATTCCATTTTGACCTTCCAAAAACACCTCTGTGCACTCCTCATCCAGTTGGGCAAAACACTGTGGCATCCAACCATCAAAATCTGGAGGCCCACTGGAGGCGCTGGAGCACTGCAATCTTGTCGTGATGCTTTGGATTCCTTACGCTCGAAGTCATGCTCTTCTTGCGGCGCATCGCTGACATTGGCACAAATGTGGTCCTCCTCTGGAGGGTCGGCATGTTGCTGGGGGTCACATCGGAGGTAGTGCGAGGACCCCTTCATGACAACACACTCAACAGTTCTACAATTGATCAACATATGCTGTAGAAGCGGATGAGGCAACTATTCAATGAGTGTTCAGGACTTGTTTTGATATATTCCGTGGGATGGTTAACCCAACAGACATGGACCACCGGTGATGGAAAAACAAAGTTTCAAGAGGTTTGCTTTCAACGTTCAACCATCTACTGGACTTCTTTCAGCCCATCCTACTGCGTCTGAATGTGGAAAATCGCAGACTTCCTCCATGAATTCGTGCAGATTAGGTGACGTATGAATTCCTGTTTGAGAGTCGAATAGGGATGCCATTGACAAGTGCATGTCATGCTGCCGCAATGCTACTCAACGAGTTCGGTCGCTCGGGGGAGAAAAACGGGTCAGGTCAGCAGGTGAAAATGATTTGCTACATCCGTGATTCATACTGCCTCTCCGCACGTTGACCAGAATCCACCCGATTAGGGGAATAAACCAGAAAGTGAGCGGAATGCCTTCACCTTCACCCGAAGCCAGGGCAGGTATAAGGGAAGAGTTTCTCCTTGGTGACTCTGGAAAACCTCCATGCCAGGAAAGGTTTTCTCCTCGGTTGACCCTCCGAAACCGACCATCGGGGCTCACGCCACAAGGGGCGTCGTTTTCCGTATCAACATGACTGACAGTAGTTTACACGACTCAGGGTCCATATGACTGGCAGGGTCCATATTCACAGTTTACACGACTGACTTGCAGTACCAACTTGTCATTGGACCACGAAGCTTGGTAGCTCGTCCTGAGGAACACGTCGAAGACGGCGCGATCAGCGGTCGCGCCTTGTTCCCGAAGAGCACATAGCTCGTGGTGCCCATTGGGCCTCAATGGGAAATCTGCAAATGTGCCATTGTGTGAGCCCTACACATAGAAACGTAGATCTGCATGTGTACAGCAATACACCGTGTATCCTGCGCTTGCCCTGAACCCACACGTGTTCACATTCACCGGACAGCAACCCGCAATCCTAGTGGCACTGCGCCAAGCGGCAGCTATCAAAAAGCTCGTGCAAGAACTTGTTGTCATAGATGCCATGCGTTCGCCCTGGCGTTTCCGAGGAGCGAAAAAAAGAGCGCCAGGTGCCCATCGCGGGCGGCCCATAGGAAGGCTAGGGCTAAAGGATTGGTCGTCAAGGTGCTGTACACCCAAAGAGGGCACCCCAATAGGTTCATGCATGCATGCATCGAATCTACACATCCAAGAATCGGCCAAGCATGCTGAAGCCCGAGCCAAAACAACTTTGAAGCCATCGTCTCTTCATACAACCCCGGCTCGACCAAAACCGCTCGCAAGCAGGGAGTAAATCTGTTCCGCTGCTCATTGACAGCTGCTGTCACCATCCTCTCTGTTTGTGCAGCTCCGGTGCCTGAGAAACTCATCAACTTCGCCTGCCCTGCTCCGCTCCACCCCGCTCTCCCGGGCGCGCCGTCGGGGCCGAAGAGCCGACAGAAGCAGAAGTTCGTCGTCTGCACTCGGTCCGTCCAGCCGGAGGGCCTCGGTGGACGAGAGGAGACGAGGAGACGAGGCTTGGTCGATGGCGCTCCAAGCCTCCAACCTAATTAGCTATGGCCTCCAACCGGCACCCCGGAACACCGAAAAAAACTGGTTGTGGCCAAGTTTATTGTATGCTGTTTTTATTTGTTTTTTGTTTTAATGACCTTTTTTGAAGGGTTCGGAGATTTGACATGTCCAGCACCCGACCAAGATCGGTCACGAATGGTTCGACCTGGTCCGGGTCAGGCCCTTCCCAACCCTCCACAGAAGGAAACCTGTAAGACTGTAAGAGTCAGGTGCTGGATAGAGAAGCTATTGCTGAACTAGAAGAAAGAGACACACAGTGGCGTCCTGTCGGGGAAACCCCCCGCAATGACGGCCCGAGCCGCGAAGGAGCGGTTGGTGTGTGTGTGTGCCCCTTGTGGTCACAGGGATCCACTTGGATTGTACTTTCTGTTCTTGCTTTTTCTTTTTTCAGCAGGGGGCCCATGGACACTTGGATGGCATGGGCCAACGAAGACCCATCCAAGCTGTTGTGGAAACGTACCTGCTTGGTGCACCTGGGCGCATTGTAAGGCGCAGCTGGTGGCCATTTACTCCTTTTAATTCTGCAGATGTGCACGGACCGCCGGCCTCACTTCCGTTTGAAGACCCCCAGCCTCCATTAGGCTTTACCTGTACTCTTAGGAAAAGGTAACCTAGGCTGGCGTGTGGCACCGCATTCAGTTCAGTACACCCAATCCTAAGCCCGTCGAACGGGGGTGTGTCTTTGTCCCTGCGCCCGGGACCAGAGTAGCTTGCAGCGAGCGTAGGAGGCTTATGCCAAAGTTTTTTGCCAAGACTTGACGAATTATTGAATTCCAAGTTGGCTCACGCCTTTCGTGACCACAGCGGTCAAAGCAGCCAGCCACTTTGGCAGGGCACAAGGTGACCACAGCGGTCAAAGTATTTTTAAGGTTCGTTGGAACCTGTGGAGAACTTAGTCCCCCCTCCTCCCCCTTCCCTCCCCCTTTCTTTCTCTGCTTCCTGGGGTTTTCCTGAATGGAATACTCAGGATCACCCCTCTCTTTCTTTGGTGTGTCCCTGGACGCTTGTTCGTAGCTGGGAACACCTGCCTTTTTCCTTTTTCTCTCCTCTCCCTTTCTCTCCCTCTCTTTCTTTCTTTCTTTCTTTCCTTTCTTCACCTTCCTTCTTTGTTGGGTGTCCCTGGATGCTTTCGTCCTTGGACGCTTGTGCCGTAGCTGGGAACACCTTCCTTTCTTCTCTTTCCTTTTTCTCTTCTCTTCCGACCCCTCCCTCCTGTCGGGACCTTAGAGTGGGATGCTACTAGGGGCTCCGGGCCTTCCTACTAGGTGCTCTGACGCTGCTTTGACGCTGCTTGGGGTTCCTGGCCTTACAACTTTGTCGGCGCCTTAAATTTGGTGAAACCCCTCGGGGAGGCGTGTGTGTGTGTGCCCCTTGTAGTCACAGGGATCCACTTGGATTGTACTTTCTGTTCTTGCTTTTTCTTTTTCAGCAGGGGGCCCATGGACACTTGGATGGCATGGGCCAACGAAGACCCATCCAAGCTGTTGTGGAAACATACCTGCTTGGTGCACCTGGGCGCATTGTAAGGCGCAGCTGGTGGCCATTTACTCCTTTTAATTCTGCAGATGTGCACGGACCGCCGTCATCTTGTCGATCCGAACTCGTCGATTTGGTGCTTGCGCTTTGGGCCTCACTTCTGTTTGAAGACCCCCAGCCTCCATTAGGTTTTACCTGTACTCTTAGGAAATGGTAACCTAGGCTGGCGTGTGGCACCGCATTCAGTTCAGTACATCCAATCCTAAGTGTGTGTCGTTGTGAAGGTGGCGGTGGCCGTCGGTGTGCACAAACGAAAAACGAAAAATAGAATAAAAAACGTGGGCGTGGCACTGAACTGTCCCCACTGTCTATCTACTAAGTACTATACTAATTAATGTAGACTCTTGATTATATAATAAACCCCATGTATGAAGAGGATGTCCAATTCAATTTGGGGGGTGCTATTAATCAAGAGTGCCAAGGTTTGCCACGAACAAACCGAAGCAATTTAGCTGAAGTGGTCCACTTCAGCACTGTGAGACAATGCGAGTCACACGTGGTGTTGGACTTGTCTTTGCAATTCAATACTTTACCCAAAGCATACGAACAAACCCGACAAGTTAGAACGTACTGAATCCGCGGCTCTTCTGAAGGGCCAGAGATGCGTACTCAGTGTACTCAGGCAATGGATTGAAAAGTCGAATCGTACAGTTGCACATAGTTGCACCATGTTGCACCTCCCCAGATGACTCCAATCCTCTGGCCAGCCCTCTCCAATCTCTCTGGGTCTTCCAAGCAGGTTGGACGCCCAACCGTCCCTGGCAAGGTCAACGTCATTCAAGTGTCCACAACACAAAGAAACCACCCTGGAAAAGGAACACATGTTATTCCTTCGGGTGATAGGGCAAGGCTATTTGTGGAAATGGCAAACTGAAGCAAACCCTCGTGGCACGATTGCTGATTCCAAAACTCAGTATACAGTATATACATCAAAGAACCCAAAAAGTCACTCCGGGCATTTTCCCATACAAAAGCGGTGGTGAGCAGCTGACAAAAAGGTGGAGCAAGCGTTGCTTTAAGTGTTGATCCCTGCAGCTCAAATATAAGCTTTCATTTGTTCATTTGTTGTTTCTCCATGAGATGTGTTGGTATGTTCCTGTGAACAAGCAGTGGGTGAATATCAAAAATTCGGTCTTTCAAGAAGTCGAGTTTGTATGTGTTGATCAAGATTTCCTCCCTGGTCATACTTTTGGAATGGTTGGATTCCTGGATAACACTTACGACTTTGCCAGGTCGTGAGGTAATATATCACTCTCAGAAGGCTGCTTTTGATCGAAAACAATCTGACAAACCAACTGAGATAGATAGATATATATATATATAGCGCCGGACCCCACGTTGAAAGCCGCGCTTCGTCTTGAAGCGTTTCACGCGCTCTCTTCCCAAAAGAACACCCGGTGTGTTGTCGATGCGGGGCGGCATCGATGCGAAGCTGTGGGGGTTTCTGGTCACTGCCAGGCACCCTGAGACCTTCGCCAATCCTGAAAGGGCGCCCCATGTTACTTGTCTAGTTCCTACTAGCTTCTTGTTACTACTAGTAAGGCACTTGTTCCTAGTAGCGTGGCACTTGTTCCTACTAGCTTCTTGTTACTTGTCTACTAAGTAGAAGCAGAAAGTCCAAATGGTTCAAACCATGGAGCTGAATTCAGTCAAACCCTCCATGGCAAAGGTGAAAACTCCCGATGGTGGTGTCCTTTCTCGGTCGGACCATCTCGGTGGAACGGCTTTAAACATGATAACTCTAAAATAGACAACCAACCATGAGACGAAAAGGGGCTTGTTTCTCATTTCCCTACTCCAATGTAATAGACCCAAGTGCCTTGTTGAACATTCTTTTGCAGGTTGTTCAACCCAACACCATCGAAATGTGGGCAAATGAACCACTCTCCAAGCGACTTCATCTGAGAACCCTCGCTTCGCTGAGTTCTCAGCAAAGGCGTCCTTTCCATTCAGTTCGGTGGGTCCGTCGAACCCTCCAACATCTGCCCTCCAAATCTGCCAAGGAACGCATTGTTCAAATGCAACCAGGCTAAACACCAACGGTGCTTCCTGTCGAACACGAAGCGCTGGTGTCGGTTCTCGTTCCGGCTTCCGTTGGGGCGACGGATCATCGACGGATGGCTGTAAATCTAAGCCCTCTGACGGAGGTGTACAGGGCCAACCTCTTCTCCTTTCGAAATCAGGTGGCCAAACAAATGATATCCCCAGCCGGGGTGGCACAGGGAGCCCCACGAAAGACAGATGCGTTCTTTTGATAGTCATATGCCACTCGTTGATCGCCACCACTGTGCAAGTACTTGATCCATCTACACCTTCAGACGTGGCAAGTTTGAAGACAACGAACACACGCCACAACGAACGCATTGCTACTTCCTTCAAGCTCGGACTGTAGGACGACCAGTCCCATCAACAAGCACTTAGATCAGATTCTGGCCTGGCAGATTCTGGCCACCAATCAGAAAGCAAGAATGTGTGTGTGTGTGTGTTGGATGTACACACTTTGGATGCATACTGATCTTTCTGGGGTTCAAGAAAGAACCACATTCAGTGGAAGACACCTATGTACAACTCTGGCAACTAGGGTCTTTTGAACCAGGCAGGGTCGTTGGGTAGGGCATCCCAAAACCTTTGCATCTGCGACCACACTCCGATCCTTCACGCAGAACGCCACCCCCGCACCGGTCACCCCACAAGCGGCCGCCCTTTGCCCGGTGGCTTCAAGAATTCGTAGACGTCTTCGCGGTACCACGAGCCGTCCCTGAAGTCCACGATGTGGCGCGCCTGGGACGGGACAAATCCTGAAGGGTGGGAGTGGGGGGGGTGACCGGGACGAACGGAGGTGAAGCCACACACTGTTTCGGAGACAATGCGAACACACTCCGAACACATCACATTGACATGGACGTGGAAAAGAACAGTTCTGTTCCTTTGAACGAAAATGGTCTTCCAAGGTCAGAGGGTAAAGATGAGGTCTGGAGTCTGGTGGGTGTGATGTGGTCGAGGAATCAATGACGCCAATGAGTCAATGACCCAACAATTGGTTCAGAGGGTTGAATTCGAAGGTGACACCAAACATATGCGTAGCACGCAATTTGGTATTGACCCAGTGTCCTCCAAAGGATTTCAATCAGAGAAGAGAAGAACACGGATCTTGTACTCACCGGCTCAACGAATTTCTTAGGCTGCTGGTTCTGAAAACAACCGAAAACAGCCAATGTCTTGACACATGAAGACAAAACATCACCAAAACCCAGAGAAGAGACGGCACTTCCAACATCTTCCAACCACCTGAGGGTCCGCTTTCCGCTGAAGAACAGGTCTGCGCCCTCCGAGCCACGCGGCAACGCGAAAACGCGGCAAACGCGGGGGAATCCGCCTCCTGGACGCCACTCTTGTTGGAGGCCAAATACTCCACCAGCCGCTCCATCCTGGTGGTTCGTTTCATCCGGTTCGTGGGATCCGCTCCATCCAAAACCAAAAAAACAAACGGCTTTGAATGTCTATCACATGCCGCTCGGCATCGTGTTGAGTCATTGACCTGGGCCATGGAGTCAATTCCTGGACATGGAACAACAATCTCACCACAAGTTCGGTCACTGGGAAGGTCCGTTCAGGTCCGCATGTGAGTTGACCTGGGAAAGCTATCTCTTCCTCCTCAACGACACCCCGATGTTCCTCGCCCGATGTTCCTCGCCATCTCTGGTCACCGGTCCGGTCACCGGTTTTCACCGGATGCGATGGAGGAAACCACCGGACCGGGTTTGGAGGAGGTCGCTCCGAAAAAGTGTCCTTTTTTGGATCTTTTTGGTGAAACATGCAGAGCTAGAAGTCCAGTCCGACCTTTTTGGGGCACCACCATGCACCACCAAAGGTTTGAGGGAATTTGGGAACTTCCTTTCAAAACACCAACCAAGTAACATAACAGAACAATTTTAGAATAGTCGACTGGATTTCCAGGGTGCAGGACCACTAAAATACCCAGCATACTCCAACATACCCCCATCCCAGGGCCCCACCCAACCTCACAGATCAGGGAGTTCTCAAAAACAGGTCCATGGTTCAGAACCGAGCTGTTTTCGGGCCCTGGTTTCGGCCACCTCCGGAGACACCGGGGGCCCCGTTTGGGTCTCCGTTTGGGCACACGTCGCCCCATTGGCGCCTTTGGTAGGCCTCGTCGCTGTACACCCAGCTGGGTGGAAACCTCGAAGTCGGGAGACAACTCCCAGCACAGAGAACTCGAGAGGTTGTCTTTTTCTGGTGCTTTCGCGGAAAGGGCATCCAATGGCGAATTTGAGCCCCCAAACAAATGGATCACTCTGAATCAAACCTACTTGCTGCCAGCAATCTGGTGCCACCTCGGCCACGCATCTCCCAGAAAACACCTGTCCGTGAGGCAAAGAGTTTTGAAACAAACAAATCGAAAACTAATTGCTCTACCCGAGTTCCACGGAGTTCCACTTTGTGCAGAGCACCCTGGTCGTTTTCGCCCAGGCTCGGCGTCATCTCCTAGAGCCGTTGGGCTCCAGGTCTCTTCCAAGGTCTTCCCCAGCTCTGACCCGACTCGCCCCGAGCATCCCCACTGCCACAGGAAGGCCACGGTGCAAGGCGCCAAGTGCTGGTACTTCTCCTCAAAGCACGCGGCAAAGGGTGGGGAAGCTCTAGGAATCTGCAAGAGCAACGGTCAAATTCCACGTCGCTGGATAAGTCTATATATATTGTATATACATGTCTATACAGTAGATATGAATTGTGTATGTATATATATACATATGTATATGCCATTCATTTCTGCAAAATGCTGCGAGATCCTTGCACAAAATACTGAGAAAGTCTTTCAAACCCGAACCCGAAGAAGCAGTTGTCCTCATTTTGACACAAACAAATCATGTCTGAAAAGAACTGAAGTAGATTCGAACTCCTTGAATTCCGTTGAACTGAGTGAACAGGCACTCTGGAATGGCATTCTGGCACTCTAGTGGTACCCCTACAGGGCATCTCTAGGTCCGTCACCGTCGCAAAGCAAGCTCTTGTCGCTTTCGCAGGGCCGCAGGAGTAAATAACTACGGAGGCATTGCTCTGAAACACGCTCCTGATGCTAAAGCTCGCTGTACAAGAAGGTGGCTTCACAAACAGCCCCCAACAGCAAGCTGACCGCCCAACAGCAGGCGAAGGCAGGCCATCACAACGATGGTGTCTGAAAATACCTGCGACAAATGGAAGCAAACCCAAAACCAGCTCATGTTGCAGCGGTGTCAGACAAATCATACGTCACCATCTACAGTAAGTCTCGCATGTCTGAAATCAGGTCCAGTGTAGCTGAAGGAGTAGGAAAGTGAATCCATGTCCTTAAAGCATGTATTCATCCGAATAGCCTTCACGTGACATGAACCAAAAATCATTGGTGTTCATACAAAGTTCACATATGGTCCAATAGGGGCCCAATGACATGCACGTTTCCCCACCACCGTTCCTTCGAAAAGCACGGTGCGCCAACCCGCCCGACCTACATGGTGTGGCAAGTCGCTCGCCTCGGGGCTCGCTCGGGCGCGAGAGCCGGCCCCGCCGCAGGGGTTGGATCGGCGCGGGGTGGGATCGATGTTCAACGGGTGAAAAGGCCTCGTTCCATGGGTCTTCCCAAGGATCTCGCTGAAAATCGGGGTCAACGAGTCATGGAAAAAGAAACCCATCGAAGCGCCCTGGGAGGGGGGGGCGTGCTCGAGGGACCTAGACAGCCCCAGCTCCTGCAACTTGCTTGTTGATGCCATTTTGGAGATAGCAGGAGCCATGCCCAGGGCCTAGGGCCTCTCATTGAGACTTTGAAAAGGCCAGGCTGGCCCATGTTCAACTTACTTGAACCTGTCCCTCTTCCAGCCAGTGTCCAGGCTGCAAGGAATCCATGAGAAAAGCATGGCAATCTCAGTTGCAGTTGGAGATGACCTTTGCTTCACAGGTCCAGGTCTTCGAGCGGCTTTGAGGCTCCAGCGAGGGCGGCACGTGCAAGCTCGCGCTGCCATCCGGCTGTACGTCAAAGGTAGCTCCACGCTGCCTGCTTGGCAACACACGGGTGGGTCTTCAAACATGACTCGTTCGGGCAAGCATTGTGGGCGACAGCCCTTTCCACTCCTTTCCTCTCCTCCCCCGGCCCCTCGTGTCCTCAAGCGTCGTACGCTGACGGCTGCGATGCTTCCCTTAAACCCAACACGGGTCTCAAAAAAGATCTCAGCGACAGACTTCTCTTTCAGACTCCTTCCAGATCCCCAAAATGCCTCCCAAAAAAGAGCCAACCCCGCGCGAACCATGCACTCGGGTTCGGGCTGGAGCTCCTTCATGGCGCAGAAATACCTCGGTTGCATGCTGCTCCAAGTCCAAAAGCAGGACTTGGAGAGAAGGATTTGTGCCAGAAGTTTGGAAGGTACATCTCACTCCGTCAGTTCTTTTGATAGAGAATAAAGGCTTTAACCTTCTGCCACCTGTTCGTAGTTTAGCCAAACCAAAAAAGACTTTAAAGATCTTTGAAGGTTATCCATTGACTGGGTAGGTACACAATCACAAGTGTGGATTTGGGAGAACATCTCTCCACCAATTGGTCTAAAGCCCAATGCGATATCTGCGCATTTGTGTGGACCGCATTCAAAGCCAAACCCATTTATATCATAGGAGATCTTGCCTCCGGCATCCCCAGCAAAAAAGCAAAAAAAAGGTCAACATAGGTCAACCCTCAAGCAGTGAAGACAAGAAGACAAGAAGAAAGACATCTGCAGAATTGCAGAACCTGGATGAATCTGGAAATCTGAAATCATCCCAAGCAAATCATCTACACTCTGACTCACTAACATGAAAGCAGAAGACCTCTTGTTGATTTTGTTGGTAGAGGAAAGTAGTCTTGCAAGGGCCCATGCCATCCACTTCCATGTTGGTGAGTCAGAGGGTATCTGAATCGATCTCCTCCGCAGGATCTGAAACGCTCTCCCTCTCGGATCAGTGATCTCCGTCCCAGTCGCAAGTCACTCGAGCCACTGCTGCGCCTCCGAGCGGTTCGACAAACCGATTCGTTCACCGGTCGAACTTCGTTTGACCTGATAATGTAGACTCTTAATTAATACACACACACACACAGACACACCCTTCTTTTTCGAAGCACTAAACCGGGTGTTGACCAAACGGGCTCATCCTGATGGAATCTCTTCAAGGCATCCAGACAGCCAAAGATTCTTCTTCCGAGAAGAATACACCCCTGAAATAATCATGTGTTATTCGATTCGCAGCTGTCGATGTCTTTCTGGTCAATGTAACAGGCTGATCGCACGACGGACTGGCAGCAAAACCGCGTCGGAAACCCGCTGAGAGCCTCATGCATGAACACAGAGAGAGGCATAAGCAGTAGTCACCTGATACGCGGTGGCCGCTTCGGATCGAGCTGGCTTTGGGCGGAAATCGATCTGCTCCTGAAAAGCAGGCAAACGTCCTGACACCAGGACATCTTGCGCGGCTTTTTCGAGGCACATGTCGTTTAGAACGGGAAAAAGAAATACACAAGCCAGCACCACGGTGGCAATTGGATAGAAAATAGAATAGATCTAGAATCTAGATAGTCATAGTCAGGGTAATTATCCATAAACCACCGTTTCCGTGGTGCTGGAGCAGACCAAGCCCTTGAAGGAAGGCGACTCACTTCGCGAGACTTGCCCCCTGCCCACAGAAACTAACTCCTTTGGACATGCACCAGTACGCACTTTGAGCCAAAGAAACCAACTTGCTCCTTCACCTGGCAAGACCCCCGTGGCCAGGCCTTTTCGGGGACCCGACCACAGGTGGTGTCCGGCACCCAGAAAAAGAAACTCTTGCTTCTTGCTACTGGTAGCGATGGCCTCCAACCTACGACCGCGATGGCCTCCACCGAGCATAGCGTCCCGATAGGTGTTCCTTCCAGACTCTTGCGCGTCACTTCCACATCTCCGGCGCCAAGCCACAATAGCATTTGCTGAGCCCAATCGCTGAGGCGATCACCGCCTCGGACGTGGACCGCGTAGCGGACCTGTTGGTCGGAATTGACGGAACTTCCGGACTGGCTGCCCACTGAGGTCACTGCGGTCACTGCAGGTCTTGGTTTGGGCGACTTGCTGGGGATTTTGGATTACTGGGCGCTAGGGACCAAAACAAAAATAGATTACTATATACATATATATCTTAATATATTATACAACAATCACAGGACAATGAATCAACAATGACACACGGATTATTGCTGGTCTCATTCGAAACCGTGGAACAGGACCTGTACGCACTTTATCTGCCCAACTTGCTTCTGCGGTCGGAATCGCCCCGCGTGCGACCGAAAGCCAGAAAGAAACCAGGGAGGCTTTCTCGTTTCTTCTTTGCAAGCACAAGGAGAGGGTGTCCAACCAAACAAAGGGGCACAGAAATCACTTGATGTACTGTTCCCTGCTATTGAATAAAAACCCCCCGGATGGAGGTGTAAAACCATTCTGGTAGAAGGGGCAATTGTTAATCAACAGTGTGGCGAAAAGACATGAACCCAAGCTCAAAGAACATGGCCGCCTTCCAGCAACCGGTTCAGGTCATTGCGCCACCCCCGCGTCGAGTTCGGTTCGGGCAGGACATCGAACGAGAACCCCCAAGGCTCTCACCACGAGACTCAGCGCCACCACACCTGGCGAGATGCGCGCGGCGCGGCCCGTGGCTTCGACCACTCGACTGGCTCGGGCTGTCGAAAATCTCATGAAATTATAATGGGGAGACGCCTGCATCATGGGAGACCCTCTTGGGGATCAAGTTCGACTTCCATGTGAGCGAGTGGAGGTGTCTAGGGGACAAAGTGAAACGGGTGGACATGTACTCTGCAAGTAGAGTAGATAGAAATACAAGGCAGGAGGACTCAGGGAAGAAGCGAACTGACGTATGGATTTGATTGTCCCAGGCTTTATTTAGTGGATTCCTGGAAATGTTCACAACCTGCCAACGTCCCCCCCCGACGTTCTCCCAACTGTTCTGACTGACCCTCCTCTTCAGCTCCGACCCAAAGCTCCCCGAACTCTCGCCGAGAACGCGCCTCCAAGGACGATACTGCCTGGTTGAGCCCAGGAGATTTGGATCATGTGCTTCAACTGGTCTCCCTTCGCTGACACCAGCTCCTCACCATCGCAACACCCACACACGGGCGTGCGCGCGCGCGCGCGCGATCCCGTCGAGTCGTGCTTCGCATCCAAAGAGTTCGGAGTCCAGAAGAGAGTGCGCTGGAGTAATAGACATCGAAATGGACCGTTTCCCGAACTCTGGACCTTTTCCCTCCACAAGGTGGTCGTGCGCTCGACGTCTGCCTTACTCACGTGACCAGAAGGCGACCATAAATTTAGGTGTTCGTTCATCTATCGTTACATATATCACGATTCATATTATTTCATAAATATTATTATTGTTATTGTCTTCCAATCCCAACAGACCAATTCAGTGCATCATGGCGGATTCGCGCCACATGTACCGAAACCCCACCCCTCTCCATCTCCTTCATGCCAGCACCAGACCACCACGGGGGCCGGGTTGTTTTAGAAAGGCCCAGCAGCTTCGACTCATAGGGACCCCCGGGGAGTTCAAAACGATGGTGGCGCC